CATGCATTTATCTTTATGGCTGTTTGCTTTCTTTATTCATTTACACAGAGCTCGGAGTTGACTTCAAACCCTATTAAATATTAAACAATGTCAGAAGATAGAACCTTGGCCTTTTTAACTGCATCTGAAGAACGAGCCTGATTTTGACAGACAGAATAGGCAGGAGGGGATTCCTGGCAGAGGAAGCAAAAGGTAAAATATGAGGAAGTGTGAGTGCACAGGGTGTTCCGATGGCATGGACCACATCTGACTTGAGCTGGCTACGCCAGGGAGAGGGAAAGGCAGAGGTCAGATAAGCCTCCACCCTCCATCCCTTTTTTCACCCTATTCTGACATCAGCCTTTCTTCCCAAGGCACTGTTCTTCTCTGCTGGGTTCAGTCCTCTCTTCCAGTGGCCACCCAGAGCTCACTGACAATACAAAAACCCAAATCAGGACGTGCTCATTGTCCATAGCGGTGCTCCTTCTCGGGCAGCAGCAAGTCCCTCTCTGATCCTCAGCCTCTCGTCCCTTGATCTTTTTCTCTGATGGTCAGGAACACCCCCGGGGACCCTCCTTCATGCTGTCTCATTGTCTGCACGCTGTCCTCTCTGCGGCCTCTTCCACTTCAGATAGACACCCCCTACAGGTGGCTGCTCTTTCTTTTTTTTTTTAGAGAGATAGATTTTTTTTATTAAATCATTTTATTGAGAACTCTTACAGAAATTATAACAATCCATAATTCAAATAAATCAAGCATACTGATACAATCGCTTCCATCCTCAGTTTTTTAAAAAAAAAATCATTTTATCGGGGCTCATACAACTCTTTTCACAATCCACACATACATCAATTGTGTAAAGCACACTTATACATTCATTGGCCTCATCATTCTCAAATACTCTCGCTTTCCGCTTGGGCTCCTGGAATCAGCTCCTCATCTCCCCCCTCCCCCATAGCTGTTCTTTCTTGACGCTCCCAGGATTCTCTCTCAAACACAGAAGGATGGCAAAATTGACCAGTCCCTTACATTAGTGTTCACATCCTCTAATTGCATGGTCCCACACAATAGTTTGGTAGGAGGTATAGAAAAGAGAATCTCAAACTCACTGCCAGAGAGTTGTTTCTGACTCATAGCAACCCTTTAGGAGAGAGCAGACCTGCCCTCTTGGACTTTCTTAGGCTCTCCATCTGTATGGGGGCAGAAAATGACATCTTTCTCCCTCAGAGGAGCTGGTGGGTTCGAATGGCTGACCTCATGGTTAGTAGCCCATCACTGATCCATTGTACCATCAGGGCTCCTCAGAGAGGGGGAGAAAAGAGATGTGCTAAGAAATGTCACCTCCCCATGAGTGTATCTAGTGGAACAGAAGGCAGCCCTTAGGGACATAGAAAGAACTCACAGTGGGTATGGACGCTGGGGTCACATCATGAACAATCTCAGATGCTAGGGTAAGGAGTCTGGGTTTACTTTAGTTAAACGACAAGCCATTCTTTTCTTTGGTATTTCTCATCTCACGCATCTTGAGAATCTTTTTCAGCAGGACACAGCTTATGGTAGCGCTTGACCTTCAGACCAATCGCCTCTTTTGCCTTCTTTGAATGTTCATGAGCCTCTCGACTCTCTCTTTTTCTCATGGTAATCCAAATGACACCCATTGCGTGAAGGCAGCAAAGTCCTGGACACAGTCTCCAGAGCACAATGAATGACTCGATTGTGGGGTCCCTGAGATGCCCCAATGATTTCTAAGTGACCACATCATCTCTTCTGCTGACTGAGGCATTTTGGGTGCCCGAGTGCCATTATGACCTCTCATCCACAGTCCCTCCACCTAGATTTCATCCATAGAATCTTAGCACCGGAAAGATCACTTTCCAAGTCATCTCCAGCCCAAACCCTACCAGCACCTCTCCCCTGGGGCGGCAGAATTCTCTTCTGAAGGCAATGTGTTTTAAGAGTTCACAAGAGAGAATGAAGCAAATCACAAAAATCAAACGCATTCCTTCTCAACAGCCAAGAATAAGAATGTTTCCTCAAGTACCTTTGTTTTTTATCTCAAGCAGGACAAATTCAATCCAACGTGTTCTTCAGCTAGTAATGCATCCTTATATTTAGTTCACAAATCCTTTTCTTTTTTTAAATAGTTTATTTATTTTTAAAATACTTTTCTTGGGGGCTCTTACCTCTCTTATCACAATCCATGCATTCATCCAGTGTATCAAGCGCATTTGCACATATGCTGCCATCATCATTTTCAAACCATTTTCTTCCCACTTGAGCCCCTGGTATCAGCTCCCCACTTCTTCTCCCTCCCTCCCCCACCCTCTCTCCCTTATGAACACTTGATAAGCTATGGATTGTTATTTTCATATCTTACATCGTCCTCCGTCGCCCCTCACCCACCTTTTCCGTTGTCCATCTCCCTGAGACAGGGTTATAGGTTGATCATAAATCTTTTTCTTGTTTTATTTATTCCATCTTATCATCATCTCCCACTCTAGTTTTCACCCCACTGCCAATGGAGCCCTTCTAAAGTGTTAGTTGTAGTTTTATAGGTAGAAGTTTGGCAAAAACTCACATTCCTGTATTGTATATTTGCTTATTTAATTTACAAAGTGATACATTGTAGGCCTCCTTCTATTTCTTGTTTTTTCACTCTGAAGCACATTTTAAAGATCTATCTATATTTAACATCTCGTGCAGTGTTGAGACCACGGAATATTGTGATAGTTCTAGGGCATCTGAACATTGTACTTTCTCCATTAAAAGACATTCTCACTCACTGCCTTGAAGTCTATTCTGAATTACAGTGACCCTCCAGACATGGGAAGCCATCCAGTCATTGATGCCCCAAACAATGCTGTCTGTCCACACACAGTAGTACTCCTACCTCTCATTGAGAGTCAAGTGAGGAATCCTCTGGGTAGTTTATCCAGAAATAGAGGCCCTGGGGGATTCAAATGGTTAACTGGCTTGACTTCTAACCCAAAGGTTAAAGGTTCAGATCCACCCAGAGGCTCCTTGGAAGAAAGACTTGGCAATGTGTTTCCAAAAATATCAGCCATTGGAGACCTTATGGAGCAAAGTTCTGCAAGGACACATATGGCGTTGTTTGTTATGTGTAAGAGTTGACTCTATGTCAATAATTTTGTTGCTTTTCGATAAGAAGCAGGACCACTGGATCATAAAAGCCAGGACACTAAAGTGGTTTGGACTCACCAGAATAGTTGTACCAATGCACATCTAACCAGCTTGTAGGATTCTGATACCCACACCGCACCCCGACATCAGGCATTATCCTTTGTTGATTTTCTCCATCTAAGGAGTCTGAAATACTATGCCATTGTTATGCTAATTTATGTATTTCTCTAATAATCATTAGATTTTTTTTAATCCCCTCTCCTGTGTATTCAGGTAGATTTTCTGTTGTCTTCTTGCTGCTTTGTAGGCGTTCCTTTCTCTACTCCACCTGCAAGTCTCTTGTTGGCTTAGATGTTTGTGGACATCATCTCCCCACCTATCCATCCTCTGTTAGTTTTTCCATCATAGCATCATTCAGCAGAAAAACGTCTGTTTAAATTGGTGTACTCATCATATTAAACAACTCCCTTGTGTTTGTGATTCTGAGTGTTTGTTGGAAGACCCATTGAACTATGGAATGATTTGATATGTGTTTAATCCCAATTTTTTTTTTAAAAAAAGACACATTTCTGTACTCCTGGGTCATGCATTTATTCTAAAACATTGTTTTCCATTCTCTATAGTTTCCCCTTTCACATATAAGTCCTTAATCTATCTACTGATTGCCTTCCTGTATGGTTCTAGATAGAGATCCAAGTTTATTTTTCTCTATTACTATAAGCCAGTTTCCTCAATAACCTTTTATTCAGATTTCTGCCCTTTCCCCACTGAATTATGCACTATCTTAAAAAAAAAAATTCCTCTATAAAAATGCATTTGTCCATGAACGCCCCCCTTTCATTTTCTACTAGTTTCTTGCACTATTGCCATATGGTTCTTACTACTATGGCTTTGTATGGTCTTTTTTTAATCTGGCAGAGAAGTGTACTTTGTAACCAATCGAATAAAATTTCAAGAAGAATGTTTCCAAGAGTCCTTTCATTGACACCCCTTCACTCTGTCTTCCCTGTTGATTCCTTAACCAGCTACTCTGATCTCATTACCATTTTGTTTTTCTTTGCTTCCCTCATAGATTATCAAGAATTATTCATTATATCCCTGACTTCAGAGGCAAACATTGACCAATCCAGAACCTGGTTAAGATTTAGAGAAAAGACATCTTGTGTGGGTAGCCAGCCCCCCATAGCTCATCACGGGTTCGGTAGGCACAATTGTATGGCGAAGAGATATAAAGATTGCACTAAAGTCATAGAGAAATGGGAGAGATGGGAGAGAGAGAGTAAAATAAAGAAGTCAGACACATCTCATGGTAACAAGCTCACCTCAGCTCCTCTTGGTGGTCCACGTGGAGGTGGGGGACGAGTGGGCAGGAGAGATGTGTCTGCCATGAGATGTGTCTGACTTCTTTATTTTAGTCTCTCTCTCCCATCTCTCCCATTTCTCTATGACTTTACTATCATCTTTAATATCTGCTTACTGAACCCACGATTAGTTGTGGGGGTGCTGGTTACCTCCACAACACCTTCCTTCTTGGGCTATAGATTTGCATCTAACAGAGAGCTCTCATCCATCCCAGCCAGGGACCCAGAGGAGTGGACCAGGAACTATGTATTATTTTGTGTAGTTCAGGGTTTTGTTTGTTTTTTAGCAAAATGTACCCATTGCTTTCCCCCCATTGTTATCCATTTAATACATTTTCGCTTTCTTGACCTCAAGCACTGTGCTTTGAGGTACGTCTAGTTTTAAGCAGAATTACGCTTTAGCCTTATCCTGGGAGCAGGATCCCACTGCCTTCCTCAGGGTGTCTTTCCCGTGAGTGACACCCTCACCGTCTGTCTTTTTAGGAACGACTCGGCCGCCGGATCAGGAAGCTGAGAAAGGAACTTGAGCGGCGCAAAGCCCTGGAGGAGAGTCCCCAAACCCAGCAGGTGGCTTTTTCAGGTCCCTAGAAAAGACAGCCTAGACGTGTCCGGAGGGGTCCTTTCTTCCTTAGGCCATCTGTCTCTGCCTTGGGAACAGCCGGGTATGATGGGAAGGGTCTCAGAGGCCAGCTGGGTATGGTGGGATGGGTCTCAGAGGCCAGCTGGGTATGGTGGGAAGGGTCTCAGAGGCCAGCTGGGTATGGTGGGA